CTGATATTATCTCCACTGTTGAGTTCAACCACACTGGAGAGCTCCTGGCCACTGGGGACAAAGGGGGCCGAGTGGTCATCTTTCAGAGGGAACCTGAGGTAGACATACACACACACACACACACACACACACACACACACACACACACACACACACACACACACACACACTCACACACTCGTACGCACACAAAATATCATTTTTCATTCCAGCTCCGAGAGCAGTAATGAACACACAGCGTTCCCCTCCAGCTACAGTCTAGATTGATTGATAAATAGTTCATTCTCCTGCTGTGTCAGAGAGACTCTATCTTTATAGCTGTGCAGAGTCTGGGCCATGCTATTTCTTCACTTTATCACAATGATTATACTTCTCTACACATCTATCCTGAATTTCAATGTTTTTCTCCTTTTCTTTCCACAGAGCAAAACTGAGCCTTTCTCCCAGGGAGAGTACAATGTCTACAGCACCTTTCAGAGCCATGAACCCGAGTTTGACTACCTTAAGAGTCTGGAGATCGAGGAGAAGATCAATAAGATCCGATGGCTGCCTCAGCAGAACGCTGCTCAATTCCTCCTTTCCACCAACGGTAAGAGAACCCAAACACACATACATGCATCCTTGAAGAGTCAGGAGAGAGTGGTTGGTTGTAATGTTTTATTTTGAACCAGATATCAGGAGTTTCAGAAAAGAGAAATCCTTATTTCAGAAATCAGATTTTCCCTCACCTAAAGGGAGAAGAGTTGCATCATGTTTGTGTAGTCTATAAGGAGTTTGCCTCATATGAGAGGCCCATCATCAGTTTACTTCAGAGATTATGGCCATATAGGAAGGTCTATAGATTTTCTCTGAGCGCCCTGTTATTGATTTATTTAAGTACTATATTATTTATGATTAAGGGTATGAAAAATGTAGGACCTGCTTCAGCGGTTGGGTTAACGCTGCTGTCATTTTGTTTCATTATCATACAGAGACTTTGTGTGTCTATGACTGTTGATAAAACAAAACCTCACTTACCCCTCATTTAAAGTCCCCTCTGCTATTCAGTGCTGACAATTTGAAGTGTGGTGGTGGATTAGCCGTTTCTTTAAATCATAGGCTTTCATGTCAAGTGACTGGAAGTATTCTAAAACAGCTCTTTTCTTTTTTAATTTCAGCTTCTAATTTTACATTTTAGATGAAATTATATCTTTACCCTCCTCTGAATGTTTAATCACATCTAATGTGAGATCTCCAGACAGCTCCTTCACCTCAGAACATCCACTACTTTCTCTTCGCATTTGTTACACCGACCCTTACTTTGTATCTGTTCTTATATCATTCTTAATGGGCCCGTCTTTTTCCCAGATAAGACCATTAAGTTGTGGAAGGTGAGTGAACGAGACAAACGGCCTGAGGGATACAACCTGAAAGATGAGGAGGGTCGTATCAAAGATATCTCCACTGTCACCTCCCTACAGGTAACATTATCTGTCTGTCTGTCTGTCTGTCTGTCTGTCTGTCTGTCTGTCTAGCAATCCTCCATCACACTCAGTAAAAAATAAATGATGGAGTCAGCTGTACAACATATCTGGGTCAGTGGGTACAGATGTGTTTGCATGTGCAAAAATTGGGTCAGTGGCACACTGGTTCAAGTCTACAAATGCTTGCGTTTGTGGGGGTGGAGGAAACCTTGGTTCCCAGCTGTTCACATCAGCAACACGATATCTACATCAGTCAAAGCATTGGTGTTTGATAATGTGGTGAATCATTGGTAATCTGTGTGCAGTGTCCTTCTTTGCAGAGGTGAAGAACATGAATGTGTATCGTGATGACACTCTACTGTGTTGCATGCACACAGCGCCACACGTTTAAGCCATGTATAAAAATGTAAATCAGGCACTGACGATTAAATTGTATTTTAATGCAAATGTCAAGATATGAAAATTCAACTACATCTGCTTCAAATCAAATTCACTGAATCAGATCTTGATCTTGCGTTCAACTGAGAATGCTGGGATTCTAGCAGTCATTTATAATTGATGTCAAGGGAAGCAATGCATTAATTATTTATACATGATACAATAAAAAATTCAAATTTAATCAAATGGCTGTATCCTGACAATCTTTTTTCTCCTAATCAGTGACATGGGATGATAAACTGCTCTGTTTTAGGTGCCAGTGTTGAGGCCGATGGACCTGATGGTAGAGGTTAGCCCGCGGCGGGTCTTTGCCAACGCCCACACCTACCACGTCAACTCCATCTCCGTTAACTCCGACTACGAGACCTACATGTCAGCCGATGACCTGAGGATCAACCTCTGGCATCTGGACATCACTGACCGCAGCTTCAGTATCCTTTGTGCGGTCCATGGTGTGCGTGAACTTTGAGGAAAAGAGAGAGAGAAACATTAGGAATTATGCTAGAAGGATGAGCACGCGTTCACAAACACACGCAAGAGAGCAAAAAGCAAGAACAGATTTATTAAAGCGCAAGGACACACACAAAGAATGCATACATTAACACACGTAGTTGTGTATACATGCTACTTAATCTTTCCCTGCCCACACACACACACACACACACACACAACACACATTCACACGTTGCACATCCCACCTTGTTGTATATAGAATGCACACAGACACACAGCGATGGGGGAGGGGAATATTATTCTTGAGAGTGAAAATCTAGCTTAATGAATAATTCAAAAGCTGCATAAATATTTCAGATCCTTTCGGAGTTCTAATCCAGCTCAATAGGACACAGTACAGTCACATCCCTGACCCAGACAGGATTTATGATATTACAATTTATCTGAATATGGAATTACTTTACTCCCAACAATCCCCTGAAGATAGATTTAAATTGGTTTGCTTTATTTCTTCTGTAAATTATTAACACTGTTGGAAAATATGTTCATTTACATACACTGGTGATTTTGTGTGTGTTGATCATGGACATGTTTGGGGTCCGACATGAATGCTGTAGTAATTAGGATCAAACTGAATGTAATAATGAATAAAGTTCAGATGAGGTTGAATAAATGAATACTTAGTTTATACAGTAAGGTAGATTTTCAGCAGTCTAAAACACGCAGCATGCCCCAGGATGTTAATACTCTTTGTTGTTTTGCTGAGCGAGGCTCCCTCTCAGACATCGTGGACATCAAACCAGCCAACATGGAGGATCTGACAGAGGTGATCACAGCGGCTGAGTTTCACCCCCACCACTGTAACCTGTTTGTCTACAGCAGCAGCAAAGGCACCCTGCGTCTCTGTGACATGAGAGAAGCAGCACTGTGCGACAAACACTCAAAATGTGAGTCAACTTTAGAGCTGGAATGAAGACAACTATCTCCAGACAGGTCAAAGTGTCTGATACTGACAGTGTTGTATGTCTAAGCTCATGAACTCAGAGAAGGGGTTGAGGCCAAGTATTTGTCTAAAAATATGGCTAGCACATTTTAGCTTTGCTAGCCGCAAGACTCAAGGATGGCCCACCTTTACGTAAGACAGTGGATCTTAATAACTTTGGTGATCCTGAGGTTTTGCTCTCGTGCCACCATGTTTTTTTTCATTGTGTGTTTTGAGTAGAATATTTGAACTATCTTGGATAAATGGACAGGAAACTTGCAAAACAATAATGCCCCCCTGCAGGACACTTTGGGGCATAACATTAAACAAAATCAGCTTTCAGAGACCTGCTTAACTTTGATTTATTGATGTGGTGTTAGGTCATTTTTCTGGGGGTTAGACACTTTCTATGGAGTATTCAGTTTGCAGTTAAATCTCAGGTACGTTGCAAATCATCCAAAATGAAAAGTGTAGGTTATTAGAATTTTCTCTTTTTTTCCAAACTCGATGAGTCTCTTTCGGAAATTAACCAATGTGCAATATTTCAATTTTTTATTTACTCTTTTCCCTTGTTTGATTACAAATAAAAAATTGCCAGTTCTTCCATGTGTTTCACAGCTTTGACAAGGATGAGTAACCCGTTCTGTAAACTTAGTTCAGCATGCCAACATGCAGCAAGGGAGTTATGCTTGTATTTAGTTTTAATTGTAATCTTGTTTATGATTCTCTTTGAAGAACTTCACCCCAAACATACACTAATCTACTTTTACTTGGTGTACCAGTGTGTCTGTGTTCCTGTGTTTGGCCTCCTGTGTAAAAGCCATCTCCCTCTAACTACCTTGTCATCATCCGTTCTGTCCAGTGTTCGAGGAGCCTGAGGACCCCAGCGCCCGCTCCTTCTTCTCTGAGATCATCTCCTCTGTGTCAGATGTCAAGTTTAGCCACAGCGGACGCTACCTGCTCACCAGAGACTACCTGACGGCTAAAGTCTGGGACCTGAACATGGAGAGCAAGCCCCTGGAGACTTACCAGGTGTGTGACTGAGCATGTGTGAGAAGTATTAGGGAGCGTTAAATACAAATGACTGATGAAGGGATGTGCAGGGGATTTTAGAGGGGCACTGGCTGAAATCCACAAAAGGGCATTTAAAAAAGAAAAGCTGCTGTTATGACAGCTTCTGTGACAGTGTCAAGGAACTTTACAATATATATTTAAAACAAAGCCAGTAGTGAGGGTAGTTCAAAAAGTTAAAAAATAACAGTTAATTATGCATTCAAATAATTTAAAGGAGTCATTTCTGGAGTTAAGAGTGTGTAGAATTTGTCTGCTAGGTGTCAGCTTTGTAGGTCAACAGGTGGGTCAACATAATAACTCCATTATACTGGGGCTTTAAATTTATAAACATTTCAGCTACCACGGACATCGGTTCATTGTTTTTTATTTAAAATAAAGATTTGAACCTATCCCTTTGTAACTTCCCTCCAAAATAAGATCCTACAAAAAGTGTTTGAACTTGAAAAAAAATCAAATCTGCTTCTTCCATAATTTCTTACTAACTCCTTACTTACTTTCCTTCATTTCTATCAAACACAACTAAACACACGTAACATAACATTACATTTTATCAATCCTAATGGCACATTTTAAACTGCTAAATAGTTCAAACAGCAAAGACTTTTCCTGCTGAAAAATGCTGAAGCTTTTCATTATGCCTATCAATATAAACCAAAACGAGGCATGGCGCTGGCCTGGATCACCCAAACCCCCTTAAACTCATATATTTAATTAACCATATACAGGCTATCTGTTCGGCTGGCCTGTCTTGTGCATAAAGGAAATGATTTATTTAAAATAGGACACTCTTTCTGTAGAGGGCAAAAAAAGCATTCGCTCTTCACCTTTTTTTTTGTCTATGTGTGCACGTCCCTGGACGTAAGAATTCATATTTGCCTTAAGGCTCAGTTACTATGATAAGATTTCGTCTATCAAGAAGCAAATTTACTCCAGGAAAGGGTAACTGATCAGCAGTCATGGAAGCATTCACTTATTTTCACATGATCAGCTGATATTATTACAGATTAAACTCATAACGATGTTAAATGATCATCTCTTTTCTTCAAGTTCAACCCCTATTTGCAGAAGGAAATGATTTGTCAACTGAAATTCAAATACTTTCTCTTGGCATATCATAGTTATACTGCCACATGTTAAAGCAGGCATTGGAGGTGTTACATCCCTCCTTTATTAGCTGTTTTATTCTCGACTTATCAACTGATGTTAATATTCCATCATTAGCTTTTAGTATCTAAATGTTCATACCTGCTGATATCCTCTTATCTGCACTGCATGCTACAAAATAAGTCCTCTTTCTCTTATCAAATTATTTTGTTTTAACTTTTAAACAAGATACAAAAAAGTTAAGATATCAAACAAGTGTAACATATCAAAACTAATCTGAAAAGTTATATCTGGTGACCTTCAAAGTTGCCGGATCTTAAGATGGAATCTTAGGGCGACATTGAAGGAGAGAATAAAGAGATATGCCAAATAAAGTTTCAATGTATTTTTAACAAATACTGTAATAGTGTTTAGTCTTTTTTCCACATTATACTAAGTCGTCATGAACATATGACAGCCATCTGTATTTTATGTAAAAATTAGTAAACCAGTGAGATGATGAGTTAGTCTATAACCTGGTGTGTTTCGAAAAGAAGCTGGAGTTCAGCTGGGTCTTCCAAACAGCTGACCTGAGAGCTCAGCCATTGCATCAAAATGTTATTAAAGTTCCGTTTGATGTATTCAAATGTTGTGAAAGGCAGCCAGAGTCTACCTGTTTGAGTAGCTACTGTGTGTCACCTCATGGCTCATTGCTTTGCTGACATTTAAGCTTCCCGTTCAGACCATCCTAAAAACATTTTCTTGTGTTTGGGGGGAAAGAACTTCAGGAAGCAGCTCCGAGCTTTTCTTCTTTTATGTTGGAAAGCAAAAAAAGATGCCTGACTCATCAAAAATCTCACCTCAGTTTAACTAATTGGTGCACAAATGTGAACATCATCACCAACTTTTTTTTACTAGTTATAAAACTTCTCAGAATCCAAAAGAGAGACCCTAATCCTCCATGATGAGGTCTCAGTCAAACCACACCCATGGGATATTTGGAGTGATGTGTAAGACTGTCCTTCAACATTATTAAAACATAATCTGAGGACAAATCTTTTGGATTCTTGGTGTTGGTCCATTTAAGCGACTGTCCTTGTAGCTTATTGGGATACTCTTTGTGGATTTGAGTCTGTTCTCTTCTGATTCCAATACAATCTTTTGGGGGGATTGATTCTCAAGAACAGTTCAGTCAGATTATTTAAGCAAAGCTTCTTCTACCGAGCCAAACACAGGAGAACTGACTCAATGAAATGTTCACTTCCTACTACAATACTGTGTGTCAAACTGTGACAGGACTTAACAGCCCCTTTACTGAAACAGAGAGTGGTCTTCCTGTAAATATGTATAATTGGAGACAGACATGAGTCATGGGCTGTGGGTTGTCTTTCACAATCAAAGTACTTCTTGGTGATTAGATTTTTTCCCAAACCTTTTAAGGATAACTGGATTGATTACTCGCCAGAAAATGCACTTCATCTCATCAATGCAGCATCGCCCAAAAAGAGAACTGCTGCAGCTCTATGCAAAAAAGTTTTTTTAAACTTTGAACTGTAGCTTGATCTGAGCGAGTCTGACAGATTACAACATGCGTGACACACACATAAACAGTTATTTATTATCCTTGTATCTGTGATGAAGATTAGTTGGGCTCGGCATGCTATTGAAAATGTAGATGTACAAAACAAAAGTATTACGCTTAAAAAAAAAGAGTGTGCCATGTTTTATCCACACACTGTAATTCTCTTGTGTTTCCTCTGAATGTTTACTATAGGCCACACAAGCTTATGTTTATGTTATAAGCACAGTAGACATCTATGTATATACAGTGTGTGTGTGTGTGTGTGTGTGTGTGTGTGTGTATATATATATATATATATATATATATATATATAAACACCTTTTTTTCAGTATGTGTTTAGGATTCTTGCTGCAGGTGTGTGGGTGAACATGTGTGTGTTTCTGCCTGACGTGTGAGCGCCCATGAGGCAGCCAGGAGTGGGAGGCCGAGACGCACCGCAGCTATTTATAGGCTGCCGAACCTCCACTCGTAAAGTGAAGGAGGGAAGGAGGGAAACCTTACACAGCGTCCGACACCTAGATCTGCAATGCAGCACAGGGAGGGAGGAAGAGGGGAGAGGGAGGGAGGGAGGGAGGGAGGGGTGAGGGTTTTGGGAAGGAGAGATGATGAGGGGTGGGCAGAGTTTGTTAATGAGAAGATGTGGATGAGATTGAATAAAGTAAACAAGAGGGGATGCCAGAGCTTTAAGGCTCTTATTTTTGTAAATGTCTCTTTTACTGCCTGAATGAAAATAAAATCCATGAGGGGAAGAGGCACGCTTCTGTCAATCAGAGATGATGAAGCAAGGGGGAAAAATAGAAAAAGTGTCTACATTTAACTTAGCTGACGGTGTATAATTCACCACGAGCAGGAAGACCCTCAGGGGAAAACCAGAATGTCACTGAGTTTGATGTACAACCATGAGTCGACCTCAGCTTGACCGTTTATTGATTGTAGGCGACTGTTGACTGCTGACTTTATGCAGAATGTAAAAGCTGGCGGCTTAATGCAGAGCACGGCGGCTGAAGGAAGGTGTAGATTTCAAACCCTTGCATCACTGAGCCAACACAGTGCTGACACAGGCGGGTCGGATGAAAGCACAGGGGAAAGGAGTTATTAGTCAGGGAAAATGTGTGCGCGTTAACGCGTGTGTTCACCTGTGTGTCTCTGTTATCGCGCCCTCAGTTGGTTTGGATGTTAATGGATTTACTGATATAGAAAAGGAGTTTAGATGAAAATGGACTCCTGGCCCTCGTATTGCTTAGGGCAGGATGATCAGTCTTATCAGAGCTGCCTTCAGGGAGGGTTTTGTTACAGCCTACCCACCTTTTTATTGTGTTTAATTTGGACTGAGCTTAATTTGTCTGCATGTGCGTGTGTCTGTCTGTGTGTGTGTGTGTCTGTCTGTGTGTGTGTGTGTGTGCGTGTGTGTGTCTGTCTGTCTGTCTGTAAGTCTGTCTGTCTGTCTGTCTGTGTGCGTGTGTATGTGTGCGCGTGTATGTGTGTGTGTGGGTCAATCAGTTCTCTATTTACAGTTTGCATAGCGAGTCAAAACCTGAAGAAGCTGCATGCTGTACTCATTTTCCATCAGATCAATCAATCTTTATGTTTGTGCTCCTTCAGGTCCACGATTACCTCCGCAGCAAGTTGTGTTCCCTTTACGAGAACGACTGCATCTTCGACAAGTTTGAGTGTGCCTGGAACGGCTCCGACAGGTACCTGAAGTGTCTCATAGTCAGCCTTTCTGTGGTGTGTTTCTGTACCTATAATAACCAAACATCCTCAAGATGATAACATGCAAACATGCCATTTCATATTTTGTGTGATGATTTATAATTAAGGTAGCAGTCATAGTATCATATAGTAAGTAAGAGCAACTTGCAGGCTGGAGGCAACAATGAATCAATGTGAAGGATAATGGTTTTGAAAATGTATATTCAACGACATATCTGGTTAAGTACTCTACAGGGACGTCTGGAATCATCTTTGTTTTTTTTTTATTTCAACATCAAAAACAGACATGATGTGATGTTACAATGAATACATATAGATCTAAAGGCCATTCTTATCAATGAAGATGAAAAATATGTTTATTTATATGCACACAATGGCACAGGTCAGGGTTTGGAGAAAAAACGGCCACAAGAGAGAAGTTGATTTTGGCTGTGACTGTAGTAATAATAACTTTAATCTGTCCTGAAATGGGCAGGTCCTTTGGTGAGTGACCAGTGTGTCTAAAGCTGAGAGACAGTGGTATACGAACAGACTGAGAGAGACAGAGAGGAGTGAGAGTGTTGATAGTTTCTGAGTACACTTGCTACTGATTGCGGGGCTACAGCAGAGTCAGAGACCCTCAGTCCCCCCTGTGACGTAAACGTAACGTGATGTTAAAAATCCAAAGTGTTGCTCGCAGCCTCACTGACAAAAAAAAGCCACTTTTCCTCTTAATTCAGCCATTGTCTATTGATTAATTTAATTTAAATCAATTTCTGGCCTTGTCAACAGCCATGTTCAGACAGGTTTCAGTTTAATTTGTAACAAAGGGCCTGCAAGTTGTCCTTTGAGATGAAGATTTTAAGTGCATAGATTCTGAAATGTTCCCCTTTAAAATGATTCAGTAACAGAATATTTTCCCATAAACAGAGTCATCCAGGTTGCTCTGTTAAACCTGGAACTTAAAAGGGCACACATTCAGAACTGTTTCTTTAAAAAATAGGATTAGAAAAAAAACAAACAATTGTTTGTATGATTCTGGTTTTGCAGAGGAACCCAAAGAAAATAAAAACTGGATCCTTTATCTCATACGCTCATAAAGGTATCTCTTATTTTCCAGCAATTACGAGATGATCATCTGGTAATTACCAGATCCCACTTTAGCAGGGATGCAATTCAAATGCACATAAGGACGGGAAGTAGATGTGCAGAAGGTGCTGCAGCACGCCTGAAATCAGGCAAAATGAAAGCCATCCTCTTACTCATCTTTGTGCACACGTTGTTGTTTTGGAGAGGAACGTAATCACAGTGATCCAGATGTCTGATCATCCTGTCAGATAGAGTAGCATCCCTAGATGTTTCCCAGGAATGTCAGTGAACATCAGTGAAAAAAAGAACTTCAGACTGTAGTTACTGTACCCTTAATTGTAACCTTTACTCTCCTTTTCTTTTTGTCCAGTGTGATCATGACCGGAGCCTACAACAACTTCTTCCGCATGTTCGACCGGAACACCAAGCGCGACGTGACCCTGGAGGCGTCGAGAGAGAGCAGCAAACCCCGGGCCGTCCTGAAGCCCCGGAGGGTCTGTGCCGCCGGGGGAAAGCGCCGGAAGGACGACATCAGCGTGGACAGCCTGGACTTCACCAAGAAGATCCTGCACACCGCCTGGCACCCCAACGAGAACATCATTGCCATTGCCGCCACCAACAACCTGTACATCTTCCAGGACAAACTAAACTCTGAGTTGCATTAACTAAAGGATGTCAGCGTCTGATTGTGACGAGTTTACACCTGAAAACAAAACTATGCCAGAATGTCCACATTTGCAGTCACACACCCAAAGGAATATGCCTAACACATACACACAAATACACAACTAGGTCTACTCTTACACACTCCCAGCCTCCCAGGACTGAAAGGACCTAAAAAAAAAGGGCTAGAAAGGGAACAGGCTGGATTACACAGTGGATTTCTTGATTGTTAACCTCTGGATTGTGCTTGATGGTGTGTTCATTGCTACAGTTCTTTGGACTGGAGAGACGTTTACATGTTTGTCTTTTCTTTGTTTGATTCTTTGGGCACTAGTGCTTTCTCCACCTCCTCTTGCTCTTCTCCTTTCTGTATTTGTGTGCTCGGGCAAAGCCTATTCTTATCCTCTGCCCACTGTTTTGTGTTACAGAAACCCTCCGTGGTTGTCTACTAGCGGTACTGATGAAAAAAAGGGGCATTTACGTAACTCGCTGTTTGTTTAATTTCAGATCAGCTGTCCCTTAACTCGTTTTTTCCCCCCTCCTAACATATTGTTTAATAATGTTTTAGGTTGTTATTTTGATGAGAATGAGGGTTTAACAACGATGTGTGTGATGTGAAAGGATGAACTTGGGACCCCTTCCCCTCAAACCAAGTGCACTCAGATGCCTCTGAGCTCCACTGGACAATGTTCAGAGAGCTAAAACAGCCACCGCCCTGCGGAATGAAGCAGAAGTGAATAGATGATTTCACCACAGCCTAATATGAGGACACACACTCATATCTGCTCCTCACACTGTGTTTCAGTCCTTAATGTTTCCTCTGCTGAAACTTCCCTGATGTGGATTCTGCTTCTGGTCAGGGGCTGCGTCGTGTGCTACTTTGCCGTGAAACACAACTCAAATTCAGCAAGAAAAAAAGAAATAAACACATAAAAAATGAACTGAATAGATCAACAATCAAGCAAAAAAAAGATGCTGCATGTAAAACCAGTTAAGCCTAGGTGTTTATAAATTGACTGACTGACTTGGCTGCCTTCTTAACCATTTAGACCCAGCTGTACAAAGGCTTCTGGGGCCCCCGGGCCCCGTGCAGCACGAGTTACCATAGATGACCGAGCTCTCCTACCTTTATTTGTGTCTTCAGGCACTGAAGCATGTTTACCAGTGTTCGGTTTGTACACGTACATGTACTGTACATTTTGAATGAAGCCGTCCAAGAATCAGTTTATACTCGACTGAAGCTGAGACGAAGAGGAATGGGGAATGTTTTCATTAATGTCGTTCTCTAAAAGAAAAAAAAAATACAAAAAGGGCCTGGAGGGAGTCTGTAAATATGAACTCTGTTTTTGACATGTTTTAGGTTTAGTTTTTTTAATATCCACAAACAAACATCATCATCTGTATCGCTGATCGCCTCCAAAGCTGCAGCAGAGATATGCTACTTTAATCTCTTCAGCCTTCCTCACTGATTACTTTTCTGATGTGCAGAATCTTTTATTTTTAGAACAGTCTATTCTTTTATTATCCTCTTATTTTTGACAAACTCCGTCAACCAAGTACCGACCAAACTAATGTCGAGTCACTTATTTATGTGTTAATGTATGTTGCGGACAGCATTGTCAAATTGTTTTTTTGTTTTTTTTTCTGAATAAAGATTTCAACGAAATTGCATCCAATGAGCGTACATTTGCGATTTTTATTGTTGTAAAAGTATTTGAGTCTAACACAAAACTTTCAGTGCCATTATGTGCCATTATGTGCACACTTTATAGCTCCAATTTATATGGACCAATGAGGTGTCATCATTAGTGATAGCAGTGAATACATGAGGTCTGAGGCTCCACCTAGTGACAAAACTAAGTTATTACAGATATGAAAGAAAACTTACTTTATTGATCCCAAACAGGGAAATTGTGGTGTTGCAACCTTCAGGCTGGGCCCCGTATTAACTGTTTCATTAGGTCATGCTGATGGTGACTATGCACAACACTGGGATCCGTAACTTTAAAATGGTAATCAATATGAAATAGCAAGTAACCACACCTGTGCTTTTCTTACTGCTTTATGTCAGATGTCTTCAGTGAGCAAAACAAGCAGCACCTGCTTCTGACAGGACAACAAAAAGCACAAAGTGAAAGTATTTAGTTTATTGGTCACAGTACAGAAAACAGTAGTGACATCCTAACCTACAACAGATCAACAGTCAGGGGCTGAAAACATTTATTCAATCTCTGCACAGCAGAAACATAGAAAATCAAGGGACGAGAAAGAACAGAGACAACGTTGGAGAACACTTCTCTGTAATAAATACAAGTACAGCTCCAGATAAGATTTATTTTTTGAAGTGTAAGCATTAAAGAAATGATAAAGTCTTATCTCTACCTAATTTACTTTAAGTTTATTAAGGCACTTGAATCATTGAAAATTCTTTCCAAAACCAGCTAACATACTTGACACAAAACGATTAAAGCTTAATGGCAAAGGAAATCGAGTTATCATCAGCATCGAAGACTTTTTGTTTAAAAAACAAACAAAGACAACTTTAGGCCGGGGACAAAACTAAGAGAGGACACTTCAGAAAATCAAACTGAATTATAAATACTGATCATTTTGGAAACACGTTTTTGATAAACATGTTAAAATGATCGCAGCAGAGATAGTGTTTTGTTAAGAAACAAACAAATAATAAATTACATCATTAAACTTAATGAAATGCATAACTGACCACCTTCAGGGGTTTAGATGATTTTTTCATATTTTGGTGTTAGGCATTACATTTTTAATTCTTAAAAAAAACCTTATTGATTTAATTTCTCTCCCCTTGTGTACATTTTTATCACATTGTATTTTGAGTTCTCATACATTCTGGCTCAAAAGCTATAAAATTGCAAACACACACTCTCTGGAGTCCAGACTGACACTACAGTAGTACTCAGCATCTGTCCACCATCCTACAGTTCATGTCAACTGTAATTCTAAAAGAACAGTGTAGTATTACCATTAAAGTGATCCTCCTGGAGATAGTATCATTATGCTTCTAATTTTCCCACAGGTGTGTTTACTGTATGTCTCCCCTCCTCTATGGCTCCTCCTGTGTCTCTGTTTCAGAGTGCTGCTCCAGCTGAGCGGTCAGGAAGGGGTTAAAGAAGAAGTCAAAACCAAACTGCAGAGCGCTCTGAACCGTGCCCCTCCAGTCGTGTTCGATCTTGTACTGCCTGCGAGTTGTAATGTTGGCATCGCTGCATGACAAGCAGTGAATGGCCTTAAGTTCAAACACAGGCCATTTAGAGCCTAAACGACCCTCCAGTATGGTGCTGAACTCCACCAGGCTGCCCGTGTTTAAGTGTAAAAGCACAGACTTAAACTCATTACTAGCTCGCAGGACTATGTCCTTAGTGGCATCTTCGTCCTCTATGATTGTCCCATTCTTTGACTTCCTCTCCAGAGGCATTCCCATCGTGACCTCAAATTTGTAATGATCGAAGCGTTTGATGTGGCACTCGTGCTTGGCCAGTCTTTTCAGTTTACAGAGGGGGTCTTCGGGGCGAGGGGCCGGGGCAGGCAGGGGCTGCGGCTCGGCTGTTGCGTTTTTCTTCTCCTCACATAAAGGGTACGGCTCTCCATAGAGGCACCGCATCCAGTTGCCCAAAAACACAGGCATTAAGTTGATCACCGAGTTCGGCCCGTTCTCGATGTCGGTCACACGTACATATTTGAAGCGCCCGGTCCAGGTGACCCGATGTCCTTCCAGGTGAGAGCAGAGAATCTGAGTTTGAGCCATGTTGGAGTCTTTCCAGGCCAGAGGGCCGCACATGTTGCTGTACTCGGGCCACGTCAAGGTGGAGTTATACACCTTCATGCCTTCAGACCTGTACACATACATCCAGCAGAAGAGCACCACCGCACTGAGCCACACTAGGATGAGTTTGACGATGCTGCTCCCCGACAAGGAGCGGAAAACGACTATGGGGTTGAGGCTAAAGCGGGTCCAGAGCCTCAGCACGACTGGTACGAAGCAAACGGTCAGCGTGACCACCATCTTTGTCAGCTCCAGAGCGAGAAACCACTGCAGCAACTGGATCATGAACATTGCAGCCAGGCCCAGAGAGAGAACAGGAAGAGCAAATAGGAAGAGAAAGTAGCCGACGCATGTACGGATGAGTCCTATAGCAGAGGCGTTATTGAGGAACACCAGGCTGAGCTCACACCAGGTGAAGCAGACTAGATAGGGCACCAGGCACAGGTAGGTCCCCTTGAAGCCTCTCAGTTGAGCCATACGGAAAAGGAGATAGAAAAGATGCCCGTACAGCAGCCACGGCATCCCCAGGTTCAATGCCACCATGTCCCCTAGAGGCACTTTGATGAACGTCATCCCAAACAGCCTGAGGAACCAGAGGGAGTCCGGCAGGATGTGTGTGAGTGAGCATGCTCCGGAGAGGAACTCTGTGAGGAGAGCTTTACGAGCAAAGAGCTGAGCCGATGCATGAAGGCTGAGGAAGGCGGTGAAGGTGAAGAAAAGAGCGACAGCAGCAAACTCCGAGCACGGGATCCAGGATTTATCAGCAACAGGGAAGGAGAAAACCACAAAGATCACAGAGAGCAGAAAGTACCTGAGAACATAAAAAAAAACAAGACAATATACTGTCAGCTTTAATTCAGAAACTTTCTTTATTCCTTCTGATTATTTTAAGAATAATGAATCACCTTTACAATGTCTACCATATTACATGTTCATGCTGTTGTTGGTACATGTTCAGGGTGAAGAAGATAAACTAAACTAAATTACTTTTTTTGTGTTTTCTATTACAGCTAAATTAAAAAAATCATCCTCAGCTTAGCATAAACATTTTATCTACAAAACTAAGCTAGACTGAAATGTGTTGTGAAAGTCACAAAAGAAAGGAACAGATCTAAACTTAATGTAATATAAAAATTCAACTGTTAAGAAAAAATTGGACAACAATGCAAAGACTTGATGTGTTTAACATGTCAACAGAGATGTACTTACAAATAAGGCTCTAAGTGTGTCCAACCAAAATTGGTCTCAGCCTGCTCCAGATCTAGACCGGGTTCAAAGTGAGCCAGCAGATCAGTTAGGGCCCTAAAGTTCTCCCACGCTTTTGAATTCTGTAGAGAAAAGGTGCTCATCAACTTCTGTTACTCGTACCTCTGAGACAAGTTCATCCACACTCTAGTACAAAAATACAAATCTTTAATTGACATTTACAAAGATCCCATAAACCTAAAATCAGTAGCAGTGTTTCATAAAACAAGCTCTAAGTGTCCATCTTCACTTATCACTGACCTGAAATACTCGCAGTGTGCAGATGACCATGGAGAAGAAGGAGAGGTAGAAAACCAGTAAAGGTATGAGGAAGACGAAGAAATCGATGGTGAGGTTGGAGATGATGAAGAAGAAGATGAGTGCGTTGACGTGGTGAGTGGGGATCAGAGCACTAAGCCACTGCATGCCAGCCCGTGACGCCCAGTCAATGAGGTGCTCCTTTATCTCTAGCAGAGCGTACAGAGGGAACTTCAACAGCTGAGGGGAAGGAGGAAGAGTCAGTGCATCAACCAGGTACCAAGAGGAAAACATTTATGCAAGTTCCCTACTTGACAAAGAATGGCCTCTGAATTAAGTTTCCTCACACCTATAAATAAATGTTTAACTCTGATTTAAGTTGAGACAAGGCCCATTTTTCTCTTCAGCAGGCACAAATTCTGGAAACAATAAGTGGTTAATAATGCTAATCCATTCCTCAGAACTCATTACTGCATACATTTGCGATACAGAGGAAATAAAACAAGAATAACAGGTAAAAAACAGGCAAGGACAGCAGAAACCAGTCACACATCTTTCCATGTTTCATGTCTACACTCCTGTACTTTAACATAAACCACTGATTGCACAGTTCCCTATGTCAATACTGTTTATTTACAACTCTGTTTTTGCACATTTACCTGCAGCAAATAATGTTGTATTTAATCTTTCATATTTAAGACTAGAAGTAATGCTAAGTTAAATCCTGGATGCATATATTATCATTCTTAGTTTTTATATTTGAAGTGCTTATTGACTTTGTGTTTAATATTATATTGTGTTTATTTGCTAATGTTGTGTGTTTGGATAACCTGCAGCTGTAACGCCACAATTTCCCCGTTTGGGATCAATACAGTAATTCTATTCTACAAATGTGAGACGTTCCTACCTTTTGGTGTAAAGGCAGCTCATCTGGATTCTTCACCACGACATCATCGTCGTCCTCGTCACCTCCTGCTGCAGCCATAGCCGTCGAAGGTGAAACACCCTGAGCGTACTTCTTAGTCATCTCAACAAAGTCGTCAAGACCCACGTGGGAGGAGGCTTCAAGGACACACAAAAGAAACTATTTGTTACTCTCCACGTCATCCCAGTTCTCACAACCAACCACCCACTCCCCCATACCTACACCTCCCAGGTCCCACTCCTCTCCTCTTTCCTCTCCACACAGGAATCAGTGGGTTGGAACGGAACAGATGCTGAAGTGTGTCGAGACATTACACTACCAAGAGTATCGAGTCCTAAGTTCTTGATGGGTCCAACTTCTTTGACACTCATCCAACCCTTCCTCGATCCCAACTTGTCCCACCCTTCCTCAACCCCCACCCATCCTCCCATACTCTGACACTTTAGCAT